CCCCGCGGTCCCGCCCGCGGGCATCCCCGGCCAGGGGTCCTCGCGCCTGGACGCGCCGTCCCCGGCGGCCCGCGGCGCCCCCGAAGCGCGCTCGGTCGGAGCCTCCTACAAGCGCACTGGCCGGGCAGCCGCCGCACTCAACTGCGGGGGGCAGTTCGCCCTCTGCCCCGGGGCAAGGGCACGGGGTCCTTGTCCCAGCGCGCGGGCGATCTGCTCTCCTCGCCCCAGAGTGGGAGACGCACTGTCCCCCAGCCGCCCGCCGCGCCTCCTTCCAGCTGTCACCACTCACCTGCTCTTCAGGGGTTGACTTTTGAGTTCGTAATAGGTTTTGGGCTCTTCGTGAAACTCCTCCCCGACTTCGAAATCCGGCACGATCCCTGATTCCGACTGCATGGCTCCCGCTTCTCGTCCTTCCACGGCTGGAAAGTGAGGACGGAGCCCGGGAGCGGAGGGAAGGTGGCAGGGCCTGGGTCCCCCGAGCCGTGCGCCCCCGCTCGGTGCCGAGCTCAGCCCGCTCCCCGCGCGCGGCCGCCCGCCCCAGCGCGGTGAGTTTACACTCGCACCCCGGCGGGAGGGGCCGGCGGCCGAGCGCTGCCTGGGATCTGTAGTTCGGCCCGGGCGGGGTCCTCCCGGCTCTCCAGGGATGCGGCTCCCGAGAAAACTACAACTCCCAGAAGGCCAGGCGAGGGGGGAGAGGCAACGTGGTGGACACCGCTAGTTCAACTCCTGTTTGGATTCATTGTCAATGTCAGCAGCTCCTCTCCCTCCTCTGCCCCCACTTGCTTCAAGGGTACAGACTTGGCTATTTAATATTAATAAGAACGGACTCAGCCTGCTCTCCTACCGTCACCCCCCGCCTGGCTCAGACATTTGCGAGGGCATGCCGAGTGCTTACTTTAAAAATAAAATAGCGAAGGATTTGGGCACTGGAAAGTTTTAGTATTCAAGCCTGTCTTAAAATAAAAGGACTTTCTATCAGCCCGCCTGCTTCCCTGGGCTGCTGCGACATGTCAACTTGTCCTCGGATTGGAGCAGCTCGGAGGAACTTTCCTTCACTTCCTAATGAAAACGCTATTGGAGAAGTTGTTCTTGTGCGTTCCTTTTCTAGAACTCACTCAGTCTGGGCTTTTACAATACTATTCATCAGCTGAATGGTTCTTTCCCCTTTATCCAATTAGCCACCTCTAATCTAAAGCAGCACTTGAAAGATTCGGTTAATTTTAAAAGGCACACAGTTACAAAACAGCATCCAGCTCTGTCTGCTTTTAATTTTTCAGTTGACTGGAAGTTCTAATGAGATCACCCTAACATTACAGGAGTGAAGTTGCGGGGTACATAAACTGTACAAGTGTCAACCCCCTCCTGAGCTTCCCGGCAGTCACTTAGGGAACAGAATAAACATTTTTAAAGCTCCCCGTTATGGTTCATTTGTACTTTCAGTCCCTCCCTCTGATAAGTTTCAGGAGAGTGTGTCCCTTCTTTTAAAAGTGTCTTGAAGCATCAAGGAGACAGTGTAGGCTTTCAGAATGGCATTTAAAGGTATAAGACTAAGAGTCGAAATCCCCAGTCCTTCTAAGAAGTGCTGTGCAATCTTGGGCATGTCACTTGATTTCTAGAAGCCTCAATTTCTTCATCTATGAAAGCATAGTTCAGCAAACCAGTTTTAGAAGGTATTGCAAGTCAAATGTAAAAGTGATTTGTAATCTATAAAAAATCTGTTCAGTGGCCATTCTTTTCTTTATCAGATCTTGATAATATTCCTTTCTAACTAACATCTCATCTTTGTGTTTGTCCTTTCACAAGTAATAAACTAAATGATCCTCCTTGGAGAAAACTCTAAGGAGGTTGCACTAATGATTGGGCACCCCCCAGAAGTTGCCAGTCTGCAGTAATACTTTTTAATTTCACATAAAAAAAGATCTCTAATAGGATGGGCTGTTTTGGGGGTTAGGGTTCTCAAGGAGATTTGGAAAAAGTACAAGACACAGACTGTGTTGCAGTAGCAATGACCAAAATCCCATAATAAAATTTAGTGCCCCAAGTACTACTTTTAGGTGCTTCACTGTAACCTTAAAATATGACAATACCTAAGACTGCCCCTGAAGAAAGTGGCCATTTTGTGTTTCTGCATGTGGGATCCCAGATTCCTTGACAGACAGACTGCTGGAAATTAGCTGTCAAAAGTAAAGAAGTTTCAACTCTCTGCCAGAGAAAGATGAAAGGTAAAACACGAGGGGAACATGCAATCTAGACTCCCAGTCTCCTCTGAGTTCTCAACTACCCATGTCTGGAATATGGGAGGAGAAGCTGATTGTCATTATATCTTGAGGATGTAACAGGCATTTTAAGGGGTATGAGCCAAAGACACTGTAAACATCTTGCTCAATAACAAACTTTCTTGTCCAAATGTCAGTAACATCCTCATTGAGAAATACTGGAGGCTTCTTAATCTTTTGGCTCATCAGGAATTTTTTAATCCTAGGAAAACTAAGAAAATAACTTTTTTTTTTTTTTTTTTTTTTTTTAGTTGGAGTCTTACTCTGTCACCCAGCCTGGAATGCAGTGGCACACTCATGGCCATCATAGACTCCACTTGTTGGACTCAGGTGACCCTTCCATCTCAGCCTTCCAAGTAGCTGGAATTACAGGTGGGTGCCGCCACACTCAGCTAATTTTTTGATTCATTATAGAGACGAGGTCTCGCCAAGGTACCCAAGCTCTTCTGGGACCCCTGGACTCAGGCAATCCTCTTGCCTCTGCCTCCCAAAGAATTACAAGCATGAGCCACCACACCCAGTGTGAAAATAGCTCTGTTTTCCTCAGAAACTACAGATGTAAGCAAAATTCTGTGTGTAATTTTGATCTGCTTCCCTTTGAAGGTTAACACAGACCTCATGTTAGAACTGTGGTTTATAACCTCTTTAGAAGTGCAATGAAATAGTCCATTATGTTATTCGTTATATCAACCCGTGACCCAGCAGACCTAAGAGTTCAACCTCCATGGGGGAAAGCTATCAAGAAAGCCAAGACCCCTGAACATACCTATACAACGAAGTGCACCTTCAAAGAGATCTCTGGGGTACAGAGCTCTGAGCTGAGGTTGCCCTGGGGTACACACATATAGCTACTATTTTCCCCTTACACTTTTTCTTCTGGTCTGATCCTACTCTTTGTTCAAGAAAACATAGTTTCCATTGAATGTGGCAGGATTACCCATTACAGTGCCATCTGCCACCCAGGGGGAGTGAATATATGAACTAATCCCAGCCAATGAGAGGGACCCATTTGCTTAGCCATGGTGATTCCTTAGGGATGGATGAACAAGGAACCCTAACATGACTAGAAATCCTCCTCAGAACTTTTATACTAGGGCAGCTAGGAACGAATGTCTTGTTTTTAGAATCGTGATGCTGGAAGGAAAAAAACTTAGAGCTACTTAAGGCCACTTAGGGAAACTGATTTAAGATGAAAGAGAACGAGATAAGATTAACAGAGAGAAGGAGTAGCAAGCAAAGATAAGAAATAGAGAGAGGAGTACAATAACATCATTTCACTTCCTTGTTCCAACCATACTTGAAATCAGATATCCCTGGACTTTCCATATATATGAACAAAAAAATTCCTATTTTGCAGAATTATTTTGGTTACGTTTTTGTCACTTAAAACCACAAGAGTTTTGATTAATCACCGTAGCAATATTTAACTCCTTTAAGTGGATAATTTTCTATGACCCGCCATACCATTAATCCACATAACAAAATGCTGGCCACCTGAGAGATATCCAGTGTAATCCCTCTTCACTGGTGAGTTGCACCCTAGGGGCAGGTACCACTTCTGAAAAGAGATGGTAAAAGTCAGTAACTGTATATTTTTAAACTGAGGACTGGCCTGGCGTGGTGACTCACACCTGTCATCTTAGCACTTTGGGAGCCAAGATGGGAGGATTGCTTGAACCCAGGAGTTTGAGACCAGCCTAGCCACAAAAGTGAGACCTTCTGTCTACAGAAAATAAAAAAATTAGCCTATAGTCCCAGCTACTCAGGATGCTGAAGGTCGAAGCTGCAGTGAGCCATGATTGTGCCACTGTACTCCAGCCTAAGCAATAGTGTAAGATTCCAACTCAGGAAAAAAAAAATGTTTAAGTGAGAAATAAGAGAGGAAACTAGCCGGGCTCAGTGTCTCAGCCTGTAATCCCACGCTTTGGGAGGCTGAGGTGAGTGGATTGCCTGAGCCCGCGGGTTTGAGACCCGCCTGGGCAACTTGGCGAGACCTCATCTCTA